TTCACACTTTTTGCCCTTCTCCCCTCAGGCAGGAGGTTGAGAAGCATTAAGTGTAGAACCAGTAGACTGAGGAACAGCTTCTACCCTGAAGCTGTTAGACTCATGAATCCCTAACCAGAATAATCACTGTAAGAAAAAAAAAATCAGTGCAATGCCACTTTAATCGGTGATATGTGACCTAAATGTGCTGCTGATTAACCATGCTGCTGATTTCTTGCCTTTAAACTGCTGTATATGTCCATCTGCTCACTACAGATTCATGTTCAGGCTGCTGTTTAATATACTGTATTATTTTACATTATTAGTGCTTAGTGTATATCTTAGATCCTTGTATACTGTTTCTTTTTATACAACATATTTTTGCTATTTTGGGTGTAACTGGGACCTTGAGTACACAGTTTCGTTCCACCTCATGTACCATGTGATGCAAATGATAATAAAGAACCTTGAACCTTGAAAAAGTTATGCGATGTCTTAAGTTGTTTGTTGTTGTTGTTGTTGTTGTTCTTAAATTTCCTCTTTTGAGTAAAACAAATCTTAATATCTTGAAAGAGACCAATGCTTATATAAATACATTAAATAATAAATAAATAAATAGAAGTAAAATTGACATTTGACTTGAGCTAAAATATAATTAAAAGTTTTCAGAATTTTAAAAACCCAGAGTAAAGTTGTCACACAGGTGTAACTTCTTTGTGTTTTATTTCTGTTAAAGTTTTACCTTACATATGGACTCCCCTGTTTCCCTTTCAGAGAGAAGGATGGGGTCAGCAAATGTCCCACTAACTTGGCTCCTTGTTCTCGGCTTCACCACCGTTGCGTTGAATCTCAACCCTGATGACCCCAACGTGTGCAGCCACTGGGAGAGGTGAGCACGGATCTTCTTGTGCTTTCCACATAAAAATAAAATAACAATAGAGTTTTAATTTTAGACCTCTGACTCACTGGACTTACAGTGTCAGCGACTGAATCTGTTTCCACGTGACTGTGACTACAGGTCATGATTTACTGTTGGAGTCCATACAGCGGTATCGATCTCACGAGGCTCGAGAACGATGGGAGGGCTTTCGGCTTCAAATGAAATATGCAGGCAGATTGATCAATGTAAATTCATTCCAATCAATCATGACAGCCATTGTGCCTGAATAAATATAAGCTGTGCAGGGCAGTGGCACTTATGAGAAATAAGCAGGAATAATTTTTACTGCTAAGACAACGGGGCGGAACAGAAGCCGTGAAGATGTATTGCTTGGATTACTGCCTGACCAAGGTGAAGGTACTTAGGAATGGTGGTTTCACATTGTTGGCATCAGAAAAAAAAAAACCCTAAATGGGTTGTATTTGTGGCTTTAAGGTTTCCCAATAATCCCAGCAGGCACCTCTGGGTTCATGCATGTAACTTAAAAAAAGCTTTCTTGCACATCACAGTCATTATGGCAGTTTTATTGGTGCCGTAACAGGTTCTGCTCATCCCTAAACATCTCCAAGAACCATGAACAGCTTTTATTGAAACTATTTTCATCATGATTGCACAAACGCATAGAAATGTTATGACCTTTTCATTCAGTGTAATACAGAGCTGTCAAAGTTAAAATATTATTTTGCAGAATATTACTTCAGGACCTGACACACAAGGCATTACTGTGAATTATGAGATTTAATCTGGTCAAGGTTGATTTACTGTTCACTAAAAAATACTGTTTAACTGTCCTGCTCACTGATTCCCAGTATGGATCATCCTGGTCCTGTCTAAAACGTGACAAGTAAAAGATTGCAACATTAATTTGTGCTGTACATTTAAACACAACAAGCTATTTTTGTCATTGTTGGGCCAATTTTTCTTGATAATTATCAAAATATTTAAATATTTTTAGCTCAATCAATCAATCAATCAATCAATCAATCAATCAATCAATCAATCAATCAATCAATCAATCAATCAATCAATCAATCAATCAATCAATCACCCAATCAATCAATATATCAACCAATCAATCAATATATCAATCAATCAATCAACCAATCAACCAATCAATCATAAGGGAATTTAAAATGCTGGGTGCTATTTTAGTAGTATCTTTATAAAACTGTTTCTTGAAACATCTTAAACAGGAAACTTTATTTTAAATTAAAAACAGTTCTTGTTTTTTCAGTTAATCTTTCTTCAGGGGTCGCCACAACAAGCCACAGACTTGTCATATGTTTTTACATGGGATGCCCTTCTTGACACAACCAACCCCCAAGCTAACACAGCCCCAATAAATAGTAATGAAAGACAAAAAAATGATATAACACAAAAGCATATTATAAATGAGGTACAGTTTTAGTTGTGAGTTGAAGCACAGAGCTCAGCATTGGCAATTTTATGGCCTCTTTTTGGGGGTGATCAAGCAACTCTAAATTTTTACTCGGCACCCCTGAACATTTAAGAAACCATCCTCACAATTTTGTGAGAAAACTCAGTTCTCAGGCGCAACTGGTAGAGCTGCTGCCTCTCAGCGAGAAGGTTGCCGGTTCAAATCCTGGTCCGGGGGCTTTTCTGGGTGGAGTTTGCATGTTCTCTCCGTGCATGTGCGGGCTTTCTCCGGGTACTCCGGTTTCCTCCCACAGACTAAAAACATGCATGTTAGGCTGATTGGTGACTCTAAATTGTCCCTAGGTGTGAGTGAGAGAGTGAATGGTTGTTTGTCTCATTTGTCTCTATGTGTCCCTGTGATGGACTGAAACCTGTCCAGGGTGTAACCCGCCTCTCGCACAGTGATAGCTGGACATGGGCACCGGCAACCCCGTGACCCAAAATGGAAGAAGCAGGTAAACTTAATGGATGGATGGATGGATGGAACTCAGTTCTCAAACCATAGAATCATCAAAATATTGTATAACTTTGGAAAAAATAATGACACTCAAATGGGCCAGTAAAATCTATCCTTATTTTTGCACTTGTTGGATCTTTGACGCCACCTGTCAATCACTCTGGTAGGCTTGTCAGCAACTGACCAATCACGATCTCAAGTTGTCCCAAAGGTAAACACCCCTTACCTGCAGGAGCTGCACCTACTTTTCCTCCAACAACACTGTCAAAATTTTGCTAGCTTAGTGCTACATTAGTTATTATGGGACGGGGAACAGGTGAGAGAAGCGGAGCGTGTTCTATTTACACAAGGAGAGCTGTTGGTCAGGCTACTGATCTCAAGTCAAGTCAAAGTCACTTTATTGTCAAAAGCTGCAATATGTACAGGGCATACACAGGATTGAAATTACATTTCTCTCAGACCCCGGTGCAACAATAACCATTTAACATTAAAACATTTATTAAACATAAGCATAAAACTAAAAATCACTAAAATAATTTACTTATATAGGTAAACATAGATTATTAACAACCTGTTAAAATACACCACAATGCAGGAAATGGCACCTACGTTATTAAAAATTATTTGAGGGAGGACTCTGTCATCAGAACTTTACAACATCGGGCCGAATGCGTCCCCACAAAGACAGAAGGGAAGGAAAAGGAACTGAAACACGTTCAAGAAGCTCTTCAAACATGTGGATATCCTAACTGGGTGTTTGTCAAGTCAGCGAGGAAATCTACAAAACACACCAATAAACAGAAAAAGGAGAACAACAGACGTAAAAACATTGTCATCCCTTATGTTGCTGGAGTATCAGAGAAATTCAGAAGGATCTTCAACAAACACAACATCCCAGTACATTTCAAACCCAGCAGGACTCTCAGACAGAGGCTGGTCCACCCTAAGGACAAGACACCCAAACACAAACAGAGTGGTGTAGTGTATGCGGTCCAGTGCAGCGAGGACTGTCCAGACCTCTACATTGGAGAAACTAAACAGCCTCTTCACAGACGCATGACTCAACACAGGAGAGCCACCTCCTCTGGACAAGATTCAGCTGTTCACCTCCACCTCACAGATAAGGGACACTCTTTTGAGGACCAAAATGTGCACATTTTGGACCGAGAACACAGATGGTTTGAGAGGGGGGTGAAGGAAGCAATTTATGTAAAAAGAGAAAAGCCGTCTCTTAACAGAGGAGGAGGCCTCAGATTTCCACTTTCAAAAACATATAATGCAACTTTAAAACAGATCCCCAGCCGGTTTTCACACCTGATGGAAACAGAGGGGCCTCGTCTGTGAATTAGAGTAACAAAGACCTACTGTTTTAGGTTTTTTTAGGTGTGAACTGCCAATCTACATATATGTGTGTGTGTGTGTGTGTGTGTGTCTTATGTGTGTGTGTGTCTTATCTCACTCAGCCTTATAACCTGTATCTCTCACTCTCTGCTCTTTGAATTGAGAAAGCTCCTCGGATGAGGAGCGAAACGTCTTCTGTTACAAATAAAGTCCAGTTGTTGTTGTATTGAACGCTTTTTGTATACACAGTCTAGTCTTTCTGTGTATTTACCATTTTCACCTGTTTACCTTTCAGCTACGCTGTGACCGTTCAGGAATCCTACGCTCACCCATTTGACCAGATCTACTACACCAGGTGCACGGACATTCTCAACTGGTTTAAATGCACACGGCACAGGTACGTTTGAGCTATTTTTTCTTCTTCTTTCGGCTGCTCCCTGCGTTAGGGGTCGCCACAGTGAACTAAGTTGCATGAAGTTTGAGCTAATACCACACTTTATCCCTTTCCTTTAGTCACCAGATTTGAATTACTGAAAGTTAAATTCAAGCCCTAAAAGCCACAAAAAAAGAAATATGACCATCCTCCGTGAAGAAATCTGTTATTTTTATTTTCTTTATCGTGTAAATTTAACTCTAAAGCCACACGGAAGATTACTGACCTTACAGGCTTCCAGGAGTTCCTCTTATTGTCTGTTTTCTTTAAATGTGCTACTTTCAACAAATTATCACTCAACCTTTACCTTGTTTTTTTTTCTCCTGCCCTTGGGAGATGTTACTTTTCTTTGCATCACGTATCTGTCTCCATGTGTCTAATTTAACAGGATCAGCTATAAGACGGCTTACCGACGAGGAGTGAGGACCATGTATAGGCGCCGCTCTCAGTGTTGCCCTGGTTACTTTGAGAGTGGAGACTTGTGTGTTCGTGAGTATCTTTTTTTACTTCTTTGTCCTTTCTGATGACATTTCAGGAAGTTTCTGCAAGACCTTTTGTAAAATAAAATGAGTAAATATTAGGACTGACTGTTACTTTTGCTGAAAAATCCCAGCAGGCCGTTGGCGCTCAGTACTTCCTGTCCCGTACGACATCCAGACCACTTCCATCTCTCCAGACATAGAACCTTTTGAGTGAATTTATCAAGTTTGACCTGATTTTCCCCACATAATTTGATAAGATTGCAGTCTATTTCACATCCTCAGCCTGCTCCCCATGCTCGAGCGAGAAGAATTTAATTGAAGTTGTATAACAATGACAGACATTAACGAGCCAAGGAGGTGCTGGTTAGAAACCAAAGAGCTTTAGCACCGAAGATAAAAAATTCACCTGAATTCAATAACTGGGAAAGAGCAGAAGCTAAAAAATGAGACGGCATCCTGACAACAATCCCTCTCTGTCACTTTTATTGCTTCATTAATGGCCGCTGAATTCTTTTTCTACTTCCTCACATCAAACTGAATCTTTTTGCACGTTGGTCAAATAAAGACGGAACCATAGCCTCTGAGAGTTATGTTTTTGATATCCTCGCCTCACCTTATGTTTTATTCCCTTTAGATAAGTTTAGCATTAGAATTGCACTTTAATAGTTTCCTACATCTTTTGCAGCTTGAGGGGGTTTTGGATACAGCGACTGCAGCCGTGTGGGTTTGCTCTTTGACCACAGCTGAGCTTGTCCTTGTCGAGGCTTTAATCGCCTCGGGGGTAGCAGTTTCCCTGGAATCCAGCCAGCAAAAAAACGAGCCGGTGTGATTATAAGGTGGTCTTAAGGAGTGAGGTGCAGGCTGATCAATAATGCATACATTAGGCATTTAACTGACAGCTGGGGCATTTGTTTATTAATAGGCTTTCAGGGCGTTGAACAGGCGAATCTGCAAACTAAAGAGGCGCCTCTAGAATCGGAGCTCCTCTTGGCGTGATGGGTTTTTCTTTCATTTTCTTTGAGGCTGAGTGAATGCAGCCACCCACCTCTTTAACCCAGCGTCTTTCAGGTGAGGTGGTGAGACTGAGCTGATAGAGGTCAAGAAGGCTGTGTTTGCTTTCTGCTTCCTTTGCAAAACGTTCCCTTTTAATCGTTGCACGCTCACCACAAGGATTAAGAGATTTGTACTCCTCAAGCAGTTTTGCAAGCAGCGACAAAAGGGAACATTACCGGGTAAATCAACCCGAAATTAATTGAATTTGTCAGTTTTACATGTTACCCTAAATGTAAAATACCTCCCCTATTCGTGTAGTGTTTGCTTAGCGTAGCTTTCGACATGGACTTGATTTAATTAAAAGTCTGAAATGCTTCAAGAGTTTTCCCTTTTAGTGCTGGCTGCTCTTTTCATTTTTGTCATATGGCACCACATCAGCACTCACATTAGCTCCGATGCAAGTCGGCCAAATTAATCTGGGGATGTTGAGACTACACAGGCACGCACAGGCAGAATGCTTCGGATGGAAAAATCAACACCTTAATCTTTAAATGTCGTTTCCCATTTTTTTATGGTTGAATTTTCTGAAGGCGCAACACAATAAGATGAACTTTGATCTGCTTCTCTTTAATTACCACTTGAAGTTTCCAGTAAGAGGTCTTTATTATTTCTTTGACCTTTGATCTGTCGTAAGTCATTACCTTAATATGGTGCAAGCTCATGAAGAGAATGTGAGGAACTCATTTTCTTGCTAATAAGCCTGATTATTACAGTTGTGCACGAAGTGAGAGGAGCCCACTAATGACGAGAGCTCGTAATATCTTCAGAGGCTCTGCAGGGCTATAAGTTTTACAAAGCATTACATCCAAATGACTCCTGCATGACTTCGGCCTCGTCCAGAGCGGAAACATTTTAAAATGACTTTGGCTGTAGAGGAAGCTCATCTTTAAATAGGATCTTCATTTCAATTTTGCTAATCTAAAAGACAAGTCACTTGTTTTGTTCAGAAATATGTCTTGTGCGTTTGATTCGTTTTTTATTTTGTTGCTTTCTTTTAACACTTTAAAGACCTAGCTATTAAAAGAAAAAGCCTTATCTAGATGAAGGCTGATAATGTAGGTATAGCTTAAGTCACATTCTCACTGGTCTACAATTGTTGGTGGGCGGACTGGATTTGCAAGGGAGTTTCCAAGAAGTCTTCAAATGTTGGTGGGGGTATGCATTTATCTTGTGCGACTTGCACAGGCTTGCAGGTGTCTTGTTTCAATGTTTAACATGCATAAAAAATCATTGTATTCAACAAATTTTCATTCAAAGTAGTCCCAGAGTTGTTGCAGATTTCTTAAACGTCTCAAACTTTTCTTGATTTAGTTTATGGACATTATTCTGACACCTTCTATGGAAGGTCTGCTTTGACATAAAAAATCATGCAAATGACAAATAATTATTTTACAAGTTGTCCAAATCTGTCATTCATTACTCACTTACAAAATAATGTGCATGGCTTTTTTTTACAGTTATACTGCCGAGTGCATTTGGATCGGTGGTGATTTTCAAAACCTCGTCTCTCAAAACACAGCCAAGGTGGTTTTCACATAAATACTCAGAACTCTGCAATCTTTCTTTAAATTTCTGAACTGTTGAATACCGTACTTGGAGGACTCGCTGTGCATTTCTTCGAAATGTAACAAGATAACCGCCTAAAAACAATAATTTTTTTCTCGACATTATAGTAAGGATGTGTCTCAGTTGAACATTTTTTTAATAAATACACTTTAATCAGCTGCATTTTGCCTGGGGGCACTGTGAACTGCAGCTGATTTGATGTTTGCTCCAGGAGTTCTGAAGTGAGACGAAGGTGGCTGTATATGGCAAGCCAAGTGTCTCATTAATAGCTACTTTTACCTATTAATGAGACACTTTTTTTCATTCAACCTTTATTTATACAGGTTAATCCCATTGAGCCTCAGGGACTCATTTACAAGAGAGACCTGATTTCTTTAACAAAGAGTGATGACAACAGTGCCAGTGGATAACAACGACATGAGCAGACAATCATAAAAGAGGCATATAAATTTATTTATTATTACAAATTAAAATAAAATGGCAACCAAAAGGACAGTCAAAAAAATAAAGTAGCGGAAAAAAACTCCTAGATTATAAGGTGGAGTAGAAAACAAACAACAACTTTGTATTGGGGGAGTGGTGGCGCAGAGGTTAGAAGATGGGCTTGTGATCAGAAAGTCACAGGTTCACCTCCCGGTACCGTCAACATCAAAATGTGGATGGAAAAGGTGAAACACCCACACCTGCCTCCATCCTCATTCGCCCCACTCTGGGCCCCTGAGCAAGGCCCTTAACCCCCACCATCTGCTCCCTAAACAGGTCTCTCTTGAAAATGAGTTATTGTGGCTCAATGAGACTACCTGGATAAATAAAGGGTAAATTAAAAAAACAACAACGACAAAAAAAACTGGTTTGTCATATTACTTGACCACCCTCTAGTGGCTGAAAATGGTAGTGTCCAATGTTGTTTTCAACCAGTTTGACACGACTGTCAACAAGGAAGAGGGCCGGCAATGGAGGAGGGGGTGGCGTACCAAAGAGACCGTCTTATCACAAGCAGAACTGGTTTGTTTCACTTTGGAGTAAGCTGTTGGGGGAAGAATCAGTTTTGTTTTGTGTTTCCTTGACTGATGAAGCCTTCTGGACCGAAGGCGAAACGTTTCAGCACAAAAAAAAAAGAAACTGTCCAGATGACCTGACTGAAAAATGTTGGGTAGTGTTCAATATTATCCATGTCAGAATGAATGAAATCTTCAGATCTCAGCCAAAAATTGGTTTATAAATATGGGAAAAAAACATAAATAAGTTGCTTCGCTGTATAAGTCGCAGGCATGCGAATTCATGCAAAAAGGTGTGACTTACTGTATACAGCGAAAAGTACAGTATTCACTTATAATCAATAATCTGTTTATAGTTTTCAACATTGATTTTGCAATGAACTCTGCTTTATTTAGGTGATTAACAATAACCGTGACAAAAGTTCCCGGGGCAACGATCGACGTCTTGCTAACGTTCTCTCACACTTGCCAGTTAGGAAATGCTGTGTGCATTACAGGACAAGCATGGCCTTATCAACAAATACCTAAAATGTTTGACCAATTGAACCACAGAGCATTTTCACTTATTACGATTTCCTGTCACAACATGCTCGTTTAAATAAAAAAAAAGCCACCTCTGTTTTGTTCAGAGGCTTGAAAAAAAAGTCTGGATTGATTCATGTATCAGCCATAACGATGTTTTCTTTTTGCTCTACAAACTGTTGTCACTTTCCTTTAGGCAGCAAAAAGCAAAAACAGGTGAAGGAACCTATTTTCACGAGCCATTTCCATAGATTGTATGTTGAGCAAAAGATATTAAATTTAATAACATTACATTGCAATCACCAATTAGCTCCATTGTTCCTTGTTCTGATAACACCTCTGCATAATGAGTTAGATTAGCCTTTTATCTAGATGAAAGACTCAATTTTCCAACAGATTCCTTAGACACGAGTTAGGCAGGGTGATTCATGAATTTCAATTAAAATGAAAGACCTACCTTCTACTTTATTATGCCTTCCCTTCAGTACACCGGTTCAGATCTCAGGAGAAGGGTGCGCTTTATCCTTTCTCCTGTAGTCAAAACTTAATTTCCATATTTCTTTTTTTTTTTCTGAAGGATGTGACACATTTGCATGTCCCTGTTCCCGCTGATCAGAATTTGCTGATTGAAACTAAATGAAATCAACTCATCATGGTGACATTGAATTCGTCTCCTCTTCCCTTTGAAAACCCTGCATGCTGTGGACTCATTGATTACAGGTAGTCGATCTCACTACTTTCGTCAGCACAAATGGAGCTCTTCCTTCGTTTCTTTTCGCCGGCTTTCTCTAATTAGACAGTTTTCCGCCAGAGTACTGCCGCTCAGGAATCTGCCCTGAATTATCTTCCAATCTCTGGTTTAACTTTTTTTCCCCCATATTTTTTGCCACGGTTGCATTTTTTGCAATTACCCACGGCTGGTGGATGTTTTAGACCACGCTTCTAATTGTGCTGTATCTCACTCACTGGCGGTGGATCCTGATCGAAGCTTGATTAATGATCATTTGTGGTAACACCATGGACCACTCTGCCAGACTCATGCCTTTTGTTTGGAAAGAAAACCTTAAAGATACTGTCCTCCTTGCAATGCACAAAACAAAAACTAAAGGACAAAAGAAGAAGTTGGAGGAAGTGTTAGATGAGGTTGGATCAGTTAAGGGGACTGACTGTCTGCTCCGCTGCCCTTGGATTGTGTATCATCCCCCAACAGACCATGTTAGTGGACTGCTGATTCCCATCAGGCATGGTTTCTCTCTCTTCACATTTGCCTGCCTGTCTCCTTCCTCAGATAAGAGCCTGCTTGTACTAACCCTGCTGGCCAGATGACCTTGGCTGCCATATATTTATTCATGCTAAGTACCGACAGTATTTTGCAATAATCTTCTAAACACCATGTCACACAAAAAACAGAAAGAAAGAAAGAATTCTCTCTGCAAGTCACTTTTTTATCCAGCTTGAAAAAAAAAAAAAGTTCAATTCTTGTGAGCTCTTCCAGGAATACTAATGCCGACTTGATCAATTTGGTGTGGTGTTGCTCAATATAAATGATCAAGAAAGCTGCACACTTAGTAAACACTGCAGTGTACTTGCAACATTAAAGCTTTACTATATGGCAGAGCATTAGAGATGATTTACAGCTTGTTCCGTTGGGGCTCAGCCCTGTTGATTACAACTTGCTGTGGAAAGTAAAGCTCTGTATAAAATCAAGGTGTTAGTTAAAAACGGGAAGGAATTCATCGAGCTCCAGTGTCAAATACTACAAATTGATGTTGTACAGGAGTGCCAAATTGAAAATTTAGCTCCAAGTCTGAGATGAGGTGTTCAGTTTTATGGGCTGTTTTCCTTCAACTGTTATCTTGGTGGTTTTAATTATGCTGTTTATTGGTGGTTTATTGAGCTTTTTGCATGTGTGTTTATGCAATTATGAATCGCTGATGGAGAAACATCTGTGTGTCTCAGCTCTGTGTACAGAGGAGTGTGTGCATGGCCGCTGCGTGTCTCCTGATACGTGCCAGTGTGAGCCCGGATGGGGAGGACTGGACTGCTCCAGTGGTGAGTGTACCTTTACCTCCAAACTTAAAAAAATAGTCCTCTTAGACTCATTTATTGATGTGCTTTCACAGCCTGTACGTCCATAAGACTTTGCTGTGAATCTCTTTTACCTCTGTGTCCGTCTATCTCAAAGCTGCTCAGCTTTGTGTCCTCTCTTCTTAGCAAACACAGCCAATGGAGCAGGTAAGTCACAATGAATTCATTTTCATTTGCTGGAAGTGGAAGTGATTTGCTTGATGAATCTAGCGGATGGATGGATGGTTGCTTCCCCTCTTGTGTCTACCTGACTCGTTGTTTTGGTCTAAATCATGATTAGACTGTGACTCGTTCAGTGAAATGATGGATCGGGGCCAAACTGAAACAAATCGTTGCGCCCATCTCTCTGTTGACTGGGCCTACCTCAGCTCCCCCTGTCTGGATGGGAGGGCGGGCATGTCCATCCTGCAATCAACTAAATGCTGGAGCCTCACTCAGGCCAGAAGGAGCAAAGAATCCATATGTAGTCTTTTGTGTTACTGAAAAGAAACAAAGAAAATAGAAAATTGCTTACACAAGTCTCCTTTTCTGTCGCCCACCACTATTATCAAAGGTGGGTGATATTGTAATGTGTGTGCGTTTGTTTGTAGTCTGTTGTGTTAGCAAAATGTCTCATGAACCACTTGACAAAATTGGTTAAAATTCTATAAAATGTAATTATTAGTTGTACATTTTCACTGAATAACTTTGGAGGTTGATTAAAGATGGCCGCCATCGTTAACCTGTCTTGGAAAACACAAAGAAAAGAAAGCCCAGTGAATTTCACAGGCATTGAGGTAAATTTAGTGCGATAGTTGATGAGAGTCATCCCAAACATCTTCACCAAGCGCTAACAGATAACACGGGTGCTTTGTTTAGAACTTAGGCATTAACTTTTGGAGTCAACACTGTCTGAATCTCTGTTAACAGCAAAAAACAAACAAACCAAAAAAAAACCCACTACAACATTTGAAAACAAATCTGTCAGAAAGTTTTCACGATCAATCAAGTAACTAATTCAGTACATCCATAAATTATTTTTTGAGTCAACCTGATGCAAGACTGCTACCATAACTAGTAATGAACCTTAGTAAACACATAAATTGTGACTGCTTGTGAGAGACAAAATAAAAAAACCTCAATGACACACGATGGAGAACCATACAGGACATGGAAGCACAACGCCAGACTGCAGGTGAGGTTAAAACTGAGAGCCTTAATGGACTGGATCAGACGAGGAGAGTGGAAACACCTGGGCTTAATGACAACAGGGAACAGGTGTAGGTGGGCATGGCAGGAAAGAGGAGCAAAAGCTGAGGGAAAATATTGAGAATGCTGAAAACACAGGAACGCAGAGAAGTAAACTTTACACCAAATATAGTACACAGTAGTCCCTCGCTACTTCATGGTTCGTTTATCGAGGACTCGCTCTATCACAGTTTTTCAAAATAAGATTGGACATGACTCGCAATTGGCTGATTGATGGATGAGCCGCACGATGGGCATGGAATTTTTATTTAAAATAAATTATTTTAAATTATTTAGCACCTGCTGCACCTTTGTGCAGTCCATGCTGCAGGATAAACTTCCTGCTGCAGCTGATCAGCTGTTCATGCAGAGCACAGAAGTGGGCGTGGCCATGAGTGCTAACTGGTGGCTGAGAGCAGCGGAGGCAGAGAGCAGAAATCATGCCATTCTGTGCTCTTTTAGTGTTTAGAGTTTAGAGACATTGTTTAGAAAATTGCAAGAGTGTGGGAAGGGTTTAAAACACCTCTTTCTCTCTCTCTCTCTCTCTATACACACACACACACATACACATATACATA